TCCATCCATTTCATACATATACTTCTAAAATAACGTGATTATATATAGCGATTTGGGAATGTTAAATTGGTAGGGGCGTAGAGAAGCAATATTTTATCTATCTTATCGTTACTATTTATACTTGTCAGTGTGTCACCATGTAAATTTTTAATGTGATTTAATTTATTCGAACTGTTGTCAATTTCTCCCGATTTCCTCAAGTACACTACTCAAGTTCTTGTGAAGTCTTCCTTAAGTTCTCAAATTCTCTTCACGTTTCCCTTAAACTAACCAGCTCCTTTAAATTTCCTCTCAAGCTCCTTAGCACGCCCTGTATATAACTATTTCGCCTGTCCCTGTGTATACCCACTTGCTATGTGCCGTGCGTGAGGCGACGAATTTTGAAAATAGCATGAGAAAAGAAGATGCAGTACAATTGAGTTTAAGCTGCAAACAAGTTGTTGTCCAATGTGGACTTTCATCGTCTACATAGAAATGGCCATTTTCGTGAACATCAACAGATGCCCGTACGGTAATTAAACATATTCGTTATCAACAATAAGACAGCAACCATCGCCATCGTTTTTTCTCTCCTTTAGAGTTACTGTCGTAATATTCCTCTGTACAGTACATGTGCGCTCCGTATCGACTCACAAAACATCTATTTACTTTATTTGTATTTTAATCAATAAACACTTTAGTCATTAGTGTTGATATTCTGTCAACATCCCTCTTATGTAAAAACATAGCAAGCATTATAAAATACAACCCACTCAAATATCGAATTTTCGCACACGCAAGAACTAGCTTTCAAATACATTACTTGACTTGATTTTCGAAACCTACTAATTAATTTGAAATCGCGTAATTTGAAGCTACTTAATTACAATTACCTACTTGATATCAGTATGTGATTCAAAATAAAACTGCACCTGCATTTACGAATTGAAACGGAACAAATTTTATAATCAGCTACGCCTGACATATGCCAAAGTATTAAGTAGAATAGACAGGTTGTAACATTTAAGTCCTAAACAAAATCTGCATGTTAGAAAGGGCACAAAAATTTTTGACAAATATTTAGAGGGTCCAGAAGTTTTGGGGGTGCCGTTTTCGATTTTGTAAACAAAATTCTGATTTTGTCCACCACCGACTGTCCACCCCCTACCCTCGTCAAAGTTTGATGGCCCTTCTCCTGATTTGCCTAATTTTTGCTAATTTTGATCTGACTTTTGTGACATATTTTGGATTGTAGAAAGGTGTCATCCACACTTTAGGCAACTTAAGTTACTTTAAAAATTCGGAGAATGACCCTCGGGTTATCTACACCTTCGTGCATGTAGATTATTGGAAAATTTTGATTTTTAGGAATGACACCTTAACGTCCATCAAACAGCGTCATTACCCAGAGTCTTCTGTTGTTCAGGGTCACACAAATGCAGAGGGTGATAGAATGCTAAGTGATGGAATGATTGAAAGACCTTGATCTTCGCCAATTTTGTTGGTTAAAAACATCCGACAGATTTTATGTCAATTTTCGAAAATTCAATGCCATTACTGAAAGAGACGCGTATCCTCTACCCTATAATTCGTCGATTCTTGATCGTCTTCGCAATACAAAATATACTTCTTCACTATACGTAAAGAGTGCCAGAGACTATCTTGTGTTTACAGTTCCAGGTAGAAGTTTGTTTCGTTGTATGAGAATGCCCTTTGACTGGCACAATGAGTCTGCAATTTGGCGGCGATTAATCGCTTGTGGAGTGGACTACCTTCGGCCAACTCATAGATCATGGCCCTGCCACAAGAGCCAGGACACGACTACCTACTTCACCAAGAAGTTCTATAAGCAAACCTATAATTTGGTCATGGACTACAATGAGTAGCTCAACACCCTGTCAACGGCGGCTCCGGACAATACAAAGATTAACACAGAGAACGGCCCAAGGGGTAACAAATGTAAGATGCAGAGAGACAGTGGTGGAAACAAATGTACACCCCACCCCCAACATGCCGTCACTAGCGGTAACAACACCTGGAGGGCGAGGATGCCGAGAAATACCTCCCCTACTCAGCCTGGATCACACAGACCCACAATTTCGAGGCAGCAAATGAGGTTGGAACGGCTGACGAAACTTATCCAGGACACACGGGCAGAACTGAAGGGGGAACACTCCAAGAGCTATTGGATAAGAGATTCCGAAACTCTAGGGTGTCATCGAAGAAGCTCACGAGGATATGATAGTAAGCGGTGAAGTACCTGAGGTGCATTACGAAACTGCAAAGAAAGCAGTTCAACGCATCATAGTGCTGCTATGTGAAAAAGAATCACGCGAAAGAGTTCTTCTCCCACAGACAAGAATCCCACAATTTGAGGGCAACTACGCGACATGGACCAGCTTTCATGATCTATTCCACAAAATGGTGCACTCCACCATAAGATTAACCGCCGTGGATAAAATGCAACGTTGGCAAATTTCCAACAAAAATCAGTTTCAATTGTCTGAAGCAAGATAAGAAGACAAAGTGCACATCAAAAGCAACGATGACAACCGTCAAAGGTAGAAGTGGCAAGGAACCTCTCAACATGCGGGGAGAATCCCGCTGAAATATGACTAGCCACTACCACAATCGCAGTACAAAATCACCAAAAAGGAATGGGACGTACATATGTTAGGGCGCCAGTACACAATGGCTCTCAAATGTCTTTCGTTGCCGGAAAGACTGCGGAAATCAACTTGTTGCAAAATGGGGAACAGTTACCTCGCAAAAATGACCTTAAGACCCTCAATCCTTTCCTAGATGCAATTGGACTATTAAGAGTGGGGGGTAGATGAAGGAATTCCGGCTGCATGTAGACACAACCGAAACACCCTTTAATAATTCCTCCAAAAAGTCATTTGGCGATACTAATCGTAATGGATGCCCATGCCAGAACCAAAAAAAAACCAGAAAAAAAAGAATGGCGGGAACCAAATCACACTGGCATCGGTGCCACGTAAATATTGGATACTAAGAGCAAAAAATCTGGTCCGTATGGAGGGCAGAAGGTGCATATGCTGTTTGCGATTCAACCACAGCACGGCACAACAGTTAATGGGAAATCTTCCAACAGCAAGGGTAAACATGGCACACCCTTTTGCAACCGTAGGACTGCATTACGCAGGACCTATCCAAATTCGAGTAAGCAAGGGAAGAAGAAACAAGAGTTATAAGGAATACGTCCGTATTTATGCATGCATGTCGGCCAACGCGGCATCCCTCGAAGCTGTAAGCATTTCTGACAGCCTTCCCCGATTCACAGCCAGAGGAGGAAAAAAAAAGGAATAGGTCAACGTGTTTCATTCCTCCGACACCCCGAGGGATACCGGAGGCACGCTGCTCAGGGTTTCCTGACAGCGCAAAGAGTTATCCCTGGCGATTAAATAGCCAGAGCTAATCCAGATCCTTGCGTCAGATCGAGTTGTCCCACCGCTACCATTACGTAAAAAACATCAAAATGGGTTATTATCTGTAATTTTTTTTATTAGAGCATAAAATTTCATTCCAACGGTACCAAATCGATACTCGAGCGGTTACGTAAAGTGCTCGTCGCTCGAGCGCGTTTTTCATCTCGCGAGCGGTTTTTTCGCTCGCAAGCTTTTTCTTCCGCTCGCGAGCTCTTTTTCCGTTTTTCGGTTTTACCCGTTCCCGAGCACTTTTTCCGCTCCTGAGCGTTTTTTTTCGATCGTGAACACTTTTAACCGCCCTCAAGCGCTGAAGAATTCCGTACTCGAGTGGTTTTTTCAGCTCCCGAGCGGTTTTTCCGCTCCCGAGCGCTTTTTCCGCTCTTGCACGTTTTTTACGCTCACTAGCACTTTTCCCGAGCGCTCGCAATAAACCGCTCGAGCACTTTTAGGAGTGCTCGGAACTTGCAAGTGGTTTCGCTTTGCAAAACACCTCGATGCCCGCGAGCATTTTTGAGAAAATTAGAGCGCTCGTCGCTCGAGCGGTTTTTTAGAACGCTCGACCCAGCTCGATCTATAGGACAGCACAGTTTTATTTCCACGACATAAACTGCGCATATTTAGGGCTTAATTATGCATTATACCATCTCGCTTTACAATCCTCTAAGGTTCACTTGATAGAGCGAGAAACATATTGCGATCTTTCGTTACGTGCACGTTCCCGTAAACACTCTACTACTACAAAAGCATGCATTAAGGGGTTATGAGTACCTTTTCGGTTAAGGGATACAGTTCCAAGACGCAAATTTAATTAACAGATTTAAGCGGCTTCCATTTCAATTCCGAAATCTCGAACGCCTCAAGTTCTTAAAGGGTGCGATAAAAATTCCGTATATAAAATTTTACCGCCATGTATCAATAGGACTGCCATAACTCATACGAGGGCTTACTGCTCTACTTGCTAAATTTATCCTTCAGACAATGAAATTCTAGGGATCTACTGCTCCGGAATCAGAAATGGGTTTCATTTGTATGGTTTCGTGCGTCTCTGTTCCGCCGAGTTTAAATGTAACATTTCGAAAGTTGCGGATTATGCGACTTGTTTCTTTATTATTTTGATTAAAATACAATTAGAGATAGATTACATTTAAAATTTCAACGTAGTGGTTACTATTAAATCGTCTTGAATATGTGAAGTTATGCACTTACTAAAAGGTGATAACGGTATTAATGAACTTTTACAGATTATGACTAGTGGGTCTTTGGAAAGCGCTTTCGTCAGTCTAAACTAACCTTTTGTTACATATTGTGCCGGTCAGGTACAAATTAATCGGTGGTTCTGTAATTCTGAACCGCGGGGGATTGCGAAATTGTATTGGTATTGAAGATTGAATATTTTCTCAGATTCATGATGTAAATTCTTCTTGTAATTTCTTCGTCTTATGTTGCTAAAGTACTTTTGGAACTTACCTTTTTGCACTTTTACTTCCATATGTAATTAGCATTTAGGCCTTTCTTTGACCAAGCTCTTTTTACTTTCCCTTGTAGAATAGCAATAATAATTCAGAAAGTTTATTAAAATTTAAATACATTCATTATTAAATCTTGAAATAAAAACTCTAATAAACGTTGATATGACGTACACAAATAGATAAGTTTTAGTTCACTTTCTTTCGCAATCAAATGTAAGTAAATGCGACAGTGGCACCTTTTAATTGTTGCAGTCGCAGCAAGTCGTTTCTAATTTCCACAGGTCTGCTCTCTGGAAAACTTTACGTAGTAGTTATGGACCCTGGGATGTCTTTATTGCTTTCTGTAATGTATTAAAATTTCATTATTATCAAGTAATCAGATAACAAATATATCGAATGATATGTCATAAATATTTTTCATATTGAATCAAATAAAAAAAACGTATTTTGTATAATTAAATTTAATACAAAACAAGTGGCGACGAGGTGAAGTACATTTTATTATTCTTTAACGCGATCAACACTGGTAATCGTTACCAATAATGGCAGATACCGCCCAATTAAATCAATTGATTGCAGCAATGCTAGAGATGACTACGACAATGCAACGCCAGCAGAATGTGAATGCAAATCAACAAAAGCCTCAAGTAACATTGCTATCAAGTTTTGAAACATTTGACCCGAAGAATCAAAATACAAGGAACGATTAGAAATCCACTTTCAAGTCAAAGGGCTAATCAACGATAAGGAAATGTGCGCAAAGCTACTCCTTCAGTACATAGGATCCTCGAATTACGATTTACTAACTTCCTTAGCTGCCCCTGAAGATCCGAAACGGCTAACCTACGATAAGTTAATTGAGCTACTGGAAAAACATTTTTGTCCGAAAACGAACATAATTGTAGAGCAGCATAAATTTTTATGCGAATATCAAAATGACAGCGATTCTATAACAGAATACGTTGCAAAACTACGGAAATATGTCAATAATTGCGAATTTCAATGTGAATGTGGCAAATCTGTAGCAGAAATCTTTTTAGGGGCACAATTCATTCGTGGTATTCGTGATATGAAGATCAAAGAACACCTTTTGCAAAGTAATACGTTAAGTTTTACAGAAGTCATTGAAAAAGCACTAGCATTAGAAGCGAGTAAAATTAATACACAAGAAATTTCAAATTCCCAAGGAACAATCAAATCTGAAGATGTTAATCATGTGTCACGCCATCGTACTAACACTAGTAATACAAACAATCGTAACGCGCATTGTGATCGAAACCGGAATAAATCAAAAAGAAGAATAGACTTGCAAAACCGATCAACATCGAGAATAAACTATCAACATTTAGGCATCAACAATTTGTGTCTAAGGTGCGGTCGTGCTAATCATAGGGCGAACTGTTGTCGTATTGATAGCAACAGGTTAAAGTGTAATGCGTGTGGTAAATCGGGACATGTATCAAAAGTATGCATACAAACAATAATGAAACAAAAATCAAACAACGCTTCAACCAATGTGGAAACGAATTACGTTTCATCACAAAACGAACAATTTAATAGCATCAATAACATTGTGGACATATTTCAAAAACACAGTGTACAACATCAAAATGAAATCCGTAAATATATTACTGATATTTATATCGAAGGAAAGCGTCAATCATTTGAAGTCGACTCGGGAGCAGGATACACCTTGATTCCGGAAACAGATTACGCGAGATTGAATTTAAAAGCAACTCTTCGAAAGCCATCAACACTATTTCGATCATATACGGGAGAAGTTTTTACCCCAATAGGTTTTGTATCTGTTGAGGTTGAATATCAAGGAAGAAAATCACAAGAAGAAATGTACATAGTACCATCGAAATATCACCCAATTTTGGGAAGAATCTGGATACGCCATTTACAAATTAATTTAGCGGAAATCGATAAAAATAACACAAATTTATCAAAGTCGGATTGTTTTGCAATTGACCCTATTCCAAATATATTTTCTGAATATAAGGATATATTTGAACCAAAAGTGGGATGTATTCCAAACGTAAAATGTTCCTTAAAGCTACGCGAAAACGCTAAACCAACTTTTATCAAACATCGAATCATACCATATGCACTTCGAGAAAAAGTCGAACGAGAACTAGACGTGCTCGAGAAGACTGGAATTATTACCAAGGTTAATCTAAGCGACTGGGGATCACCATTAGTAGTCATACCCAAACCAGATGGAAACGTAAGGCTTTGTGTGGATTACAAAATAGCTGTCAACCAACAATTGCAAGCAGCCCACTATCCAATTAGGAATATTGACGAGATTCTGAACAATCTTCGTAATTCAAAAGTTTTTTGCAGACTGGACTTATACAAAGCGTACTTGCATGTACAAGTTGATCAAGATAGCCAAGCAATTCAAACAATATCAACACATAGAGGAACGTACCGAATGAACAGGTTATCCTTTGGGATCAAAACCGCTCCGAACGAATTTAATAGAATATTGGAAGAAATTTTGCAAGATCTAGATGGAACCATGTCTTACTTTGACGATATTATTATACATGCAACATCTAGAGAGGAGTGTGGTAAACGATTGATAAGATGTTTAGATAGGCTGAAAGCAAATGATCTACATCTTAACAAAGATAAATGTGATTTTTTCAAAACAGAAATCCAGTACTTAGGATATACCGTTCGATATAATCAAATTTCCAAATGTCAAAACAAAGTGGAAGCCATCGAAAAAGTTCATCGCCCGAAAAATGCAGATGATGTACGTAAGTTCTTAGGAATGGTAACATATTACTCAAGATTTATACCAAATGCATCAACACTAACATATCCACTCAGGAAGCTACTTCAAAAAAATTATAAATTTTCATGGTCATCAATATGCGAAGCGGCTTTTATCAAATTGAAGCAAGAAATATCAAGCGATAGAGTATTGGTACCATTCAATCCAAATTTACCTATAACAATTGCATGTGATGCCAGTCCGACAGGTATCGCAGGAGTTCTATCAAATATTATCGAAGGAGGAGAAAGACCTGTGGCTTTTGTATCAAGATCGCTCACCCAAGCAGAGCAAAATTATAGCCAACTCGACAGAGAAGCGCTCGCAATAGTTTTTACAGTGAACAAATTCTATAATTATGTCTATGGCCAACAATTTACACTAATCACTGACAATAAGCCATTAACACGTATTTTTCATCAAGATTCGAAATTACCAGCCATGACATCAAGCCGATTATTGCGTTATGCAACATTCTTGCAGAATTTTAACTACAAGGTTCAACACAGGAAAGCAGAAGAGCATCAAAACGTAGATTTCTTGTCAAGATCAACACATCATCAAAAAGTTCCAGGTATTGAAACACTGCTAGATGAAGAACTACAAGTTATATGCGATCAAACCATAAATCAAATATCCACCCATTCAATCACACATACGTCAATAGCAGAAGGAACCGAGCAGGATAAAGAACTTTCCAAAATGAAAAATGACATAATTCAAGGAAATGTGGAAAATACTGATTACAGTGTGGGAACTGGAATAATATTCAAAAGGTAATCGAATCGTAATACCAGAAAATCTTCGTTCAGAAGTACTAAGGGAACTACATCATACCCATATAGGTATAGTAAAAATGAAACAACTTGCAAGAAAATACTGCTATTGGAAAAACATCGATAAGGACATCGAACAATTGGTAAAATTATGTAAAAGTTGTGCTCTCATAAGGAAGAATCCAGAAAAGGCACCACTGCATCACTGGGAAGAACCTCAAGAAAATTTCGATAGGATCCATATGGATTATGCAGGACCTTTCCAGGGTTTCCATTTCTTCGTTGTAGTAGATGCAAAATCAAAATGGGCCGAAATTAAACCAATAAAACAAGCACCTACATCCGAAAATACCATACATTTATTGCAAGAAATTTTTTGTACGCATGGGTTACCAAAAGTATTGGTATCCGACAATGCTTCAATATTTCAAAGTACAATGTTTCATGAATTTTGTACAAGAAACGGTATCATCCAGAAATTTACTGCACCTGGACATCCATCAACAAATGGCCTGGCTGAAAGAAACATACAAACCCTCAAACGTAAACTTACAGCTATGGCAGAAGAGAAATTATCTATGCACGTGAAAATTAGAGAAATACTTTTTAGATATCGAGCAACCCCTCTACAATGTGGAAAAACACCAGCGCAATTATACTTAGGAAGAGATATCCGTATAAAACTTGATGCGATGCGACCACCAAAAGAAAGTGTTGGTAACAAAATATTTCATCATAATATTCGAAATTATAGTGTGGGAGAGAGGGTACAAGCACGATGGTATGCAGACAACAAACCCACATGGAAATTCGAAACTATTGAACAAACATTTGGACGACTACATTATCAAATTAAATTAGATAATGGTTACAGCTTAAAGAGGCATATAGACCAGCTTGCCAAAACAAGCGTCCCTCCAAAGAAAACAGTGACATTCCAAGACGATCGACAGGAGAGCATTACAGACAAACAGAAGACTGAGGGAATGGACGAAATGATGATTATACAACCCCGACAGCAAATAGAGCGACCTGTATTAGAAGATGTAAGGAGACCAGCACCAGAAGAACCTATACTACGGAGATCTGAGAGGTATCGACAACCACCTAGATACTTGTTAGAATATATACAGAAGAAGTAATTCAAAAATATTCAATTTCAATTTTTTAATAAGTGTGGGAGAATCTGTAATGTATTAAAATTTCATTATTATCAAGTAATCAGATAATAAATATATCGAATGATATGTCATAAATATTTTTCATATTGAATCAAATAAAAAAAACGTATTTTGTATAATTAAATTTAATACAAAACACTTTCCCTCGAGTTTGTTCGATATCTTCCTGCCAAAAAGGCAAATTTAAAGCTATCCCGTAAAAACAGCGCAAGCTGATTAATAATATGTCGCTGGCATGTGCAAAATAAAACGGGGGATTATTTAATTGTTCATTTACCAATGGGAGTTTTTACTATGTCGACAATGACGCCCAAGAACGTTTTCTTATTTACCACGTTTTTTTCGGAGAGAAATATTGGGACTTAATTTCTTCTCTTTTACTAACTTTTATAATTCACTTAGGCCTTAACTATAGGATCAACCCGCTAAAAGGGAATGTTGTTTATTCTAGCCCCTTCTTAAAATACAGATTTGTGCAACTTAATCTCAATCCATTTGCTTACCTCATGCTAAAATACTATTACGTACCTACTTCCATACATACACTGTTAATGAAATTTAACCTTTGAGTTACACTGCTAGATTCAAATTTTACCCTACTGTAGAAGATAAAATTAAATTAATTTTTTTAGGAGCGGGGGGCCGGGGACCATTACACTATATATTACACTTAGGTCAAACCAAAGCCAGCTTCAACATGGTTAGAGCTGTTTCTTCTATTTTGGGTAGAAGTGATCACCTTATCAGGAAAAAATTTATTTAAAAATAGATAAGAATATAGATCGAATAGATAGAAATGAATCGTGTAAAAGGAGTCCGTTGTAACAGGTGATCGCCAGAGGCTACAGATTTTTTGTCAAATTTACAAAATTTCTTTTATATGTGTTCACTGTAATTGGCCTTATCCTGTTGCAAATTAAATACAAATAAATAAATAATGAAAGAGAACAGAACTAATATTCAAGAAATAAAGTACTTTATGATAAGAAATAAGTATTCAAGCACGTCACCGTGTTGTCACGATCTCACAGACCTCAGTTTCATACCGTTTTGCGAAAACCCTATCACGGAACGAAAATGCGGGAGTTGTATTGGTTAAGAGGGCACGCTTTCACCAAAAGTTGCGTTCAGGAAAAGGGGGTCGTTTCGTAGTTGGATTTGGCGAGATATTTAAGTAAAAATTTGGTGGGAGTGCGACGTTCTTACTGAAATTGTCGAGCGCTACTTATTTCGATCGCGTGTCGCTTTTTAACCGAACCGTCGGTGCCAACTTACATATTGGGAACGCTAAAAATTTAATAAATCGCGTGACTTTAGTAATAGCTTCGGTATTAGTCCGAACCAAAAGCCGTATAACTTCAGTGTGTGGGACAATCGTTGTCCTCGCAACCGGAGACAGAGTCGCCATTCTTAACAAATTTAACGAACGTGGGTACAAAGAGAGCTTCATTGCGTGAAAGACGAGATCGGACGTGATGTGAATATTGCTACGTGTTACCGTATTAATACGGAAGGCGAACCTTTTTTCGTTGCGGTGCATCAAGGTGTTCGTATTTAAATAAATTGTGACTACGAAAGCGTTTGGGGTGCAAGGTGCAAAACATTTTATTGCGACAGATTTGTAGTGGCATGTAACGTGAAAAACCACTTTATTAATCAAAGTTATGCATCCAATTTGTCAATATGAAGTGCAGAAACTTATGAACAAAACGGTTACCGGTAAAAAAGTTAAAGACAATTAATTTAAGTTATTGTTTGCTTTTAAAACCCTAAGTTAGATTTATACTCGTATATCGCGAATTATTGTGAATAACTAAAAGTTCAACTAATTAAATCAAAGGAAGCATAGTTTATTCATGAATCAAATTGCATCAACCATCTTTCGAAATTAATCAACAACAAGCAACCCAATTCAATTGTAATACGGGGGGGGGGGGGGGGGCTTATTGCCTAATTAATTAAACAAAATTAATTCACGTTTTAAAAGAAATAATTAAATTAATTGAATTCAATCCATCAAACCGCAAAAATAATCGACCAATGCCCTTTTGGCATTCCGCAACGCTATCTTCTAAAGCTAAACTATTCATACGATTTTGATAAAATTTGTAATATGAAATTGTCATTGATATAAATAATTTTTCGAGTCCAGAAAGCCCTTTTGCTCTCTAAAGTATTTATCCGATTTATATAAAAATGGCAAATTTGAAATGCATAATATGTCATTTTTTAGCGCATTTCCACAAAAATAAAAAAAAAATGCGCTATTGTGGCCACTTTGTCCGTCCGTCCGTCCGTCCGCTCGTTTTGCGACGCTAGTAGTTCTTTATCTTAAGAGCTATTGTTCTACTTTTTTCGCTATTTGGTTCGTTACGGTGTCGAGTCTTGTACCAAGGAAGGAATTTTTTCTGTACCGCTTACAAAAAAAGTTATTGTAAAAAAAAAACAAAAAACCGTTTTTTACATGTTCCATAATTTTACACTTTTGCCGTTTATTAACGATCCTAGAGATTGTTTATAATTTTGCATTGCTATCTGTCGTCTGCCTGTTGGTCTGTCCGTCTGTTCCTTTGTCTGTCTGTCCATCTATCTGTCCGTGTGAATGATAACTTTGTTTAGAAATGTTCGATCGCTTTTACATCTCCGTTAGTTATGAACTGAATTGCATGAAATTCTCAATATGGGCATAGCTTTAGCCATATAATACGCAATGCCAAAAGTTGAATCGAATCGATTCAAAATTCACAGTGCCCTTTTCGCATCTCGACCATTTATAAACCGAATTGCAAACTTTTTTTACTTATAAAAGTATTTGAATGAAATTTGATACATAGGCACTTGGAATAAAGGAAAATCAAACGCCAATTTCAAAATTTGGTTTTGCGCATGCGCAGTGCCAAATTTTTTATTTATGGAAGAATTTAAACGAAATTTGATACATAGGCACTTGGAATAAAGGAAAATCAAACGCCAATTTCAAAATTGGGTTTTGCGCATGCGCAGTGCCAACTTTTTTATTTATGGAAGAATTTAAACGAAATTTGATACATAGGCACTTGGGATAAAGGAAAATCAAACTCCAGTTTCAAAATTTGGTTTTGCGCATGCGCAGTGCCAACTTTTTTATTTATGGAAGAATTTAAATGAAATGTGATACATAGGCACTTGAAATAAAGGAAAATCTAGCGCCAGTTTCAAAATTTTATTTTGCGCATGCGCAGTGCCAACTTTTTTATCTATGGAACCATTTAAGTGAAATTTGATACTTAGGCGCTTGGAACAAAGGAAAATCTAACATTAGTTTTAAAATTTAGGTTTGCGCATGCGCAGTTCCAACTTTCTTATTTAGAAAAACATTGAAATGAAATTCTTCTCATAAACTGAAATTGAAGTAGCACGTCAAAAATGGATTGCCCATGTGCAACGCTATCTTTCATATTTGTGGCCGGATTTTTACGATTTTAACGGAAGTTGCATCTTACAAATGGGAAATGAATGCAAGTGGAAATGCGCTTTATGTAAATCGTTTACGATTACTTTTTAACTTGTTAAAAGTAGCTAGCCTACATTTTGCAGTACAGCATCTTTCTCTCATCTTATTTATTTATTGAACACTTTGATTTTGCTTTGTTCTCACTCATCTTGTACATTGCAATAATAGTGCACCATAAAAGCTAGGACTCACCTCAGTTACAGCACCAAGACCAGAACCTTGGTCCATAACAAGGTCCTAATCGAAGTAAAAATCATAATCATTATAAAATTCTTCCTATGCATCCCTCTCCCTACTCGCCTACTCGGTCAGACTAAGCACCCTTAATCGTTCTGCTGTAATGTACGTCGTAGGCCAATCCACAGTTGACTAGTCGCCAGTTACGACAAGCAGTCTGCAATGCCTCTGCTGTAGTGCTTTATTGCTAATGATCCTAGAAGGGGGGGGGGGGATCTTTTCCAACCAGCTCCCACGAATACAGGCCCCTGCGTACGTGCTTGGGTTTTGGGATGTTTGTTAGATGGGCGACGAAAGCACAACAATATTTGAAGTTATCAATAAATATATTCAATGATATGAGTAAAAAAGGAAAATGCCAGTAAGATCAAAATTTATATACAGTGATATTTATAAAGAAGTAGACATAGGGATTTAGGTGTATTGCTTCTCTCTATGTCTACTTTACAATATTCACATTAATTAATATGACAAGAAATTATTTTGGTTGTATAAAATTAAGCGCCCTTCAGAAGATATTATGTCTTTTAAAAGAAGACATAGGAAAAAACAATGCACGTAAATCCCTATGTCTACTTCTTCATAAGTATCACTGTATATGTGCTTCAGTCACGGTGGTATAGACCGTCTATACCACCGTGGCTTCAGTGTAAATATTTTCGTCAACGTCAATTCAGCTTTGATTCGTATTGTACGCGATACTGAGATAAACATAAATTTTCCATTAACTTGTGAATAATATAAACTGAAGGATTGCGGATCGCCCAAATACAAGTTAGAAATGAAATGCGAAAACATCCGAAGTAGAAATCCATCAGTAACTTATCATTTTTATGGACTTCCTTAAATTCGCCCCGCAAATTTTACGCAATCCCCAAAACAATAAAGTGAATAACCGTTTTTTATTTGGCCCGTATTTCATATGCGTCATCGCGACCATAAGCTATACACGCGATTTTTTTCATTATTCCGGTTTAATATATTCGTTAATACTCTCTAGACGGTTATAAAACGGTTAGTTATTGCGCAGTTTATTTTATAAATGAGTCCGAGAAAGTAATTTGAAGCTAAATTTGAAGTAGATACTGCAATTGTGAGCTTAAAGTACAGACAGCACCATTAAGAAACAATGAGGCATTCTCGTCGAGATTACTTTTGCGCGAGATTAAAGAGATCAATTAAAATTTTGATTACGGTCAAATGAGAAGCTTAGTTTATACGTAGTTTCCATTTGCTAAAAGTAAATTTTTCAACTTACCGTTAGCGCTTAAGACCGTGTAGCGTAGGACAAGGCGACCGGATCCCCATCTTTGTAAGATCTCCAATGGATGGTCGGTTTCTCTCAGTGCGCATTCTGTAAATAAAGAAATACTGAATTGCGTCCGATTTGCACAAGTCACATTTTACATGATACTACTTAGGTGACCACCCCGTAAAATTGTGTATTAGAGGTCTTGAGCCCCCCCCCCCCCCTCATCGAAATAAACGAACTGCTCAGTGCTCAACCACCTCTCTTTTCGTGTTGCCCATCTCTTATCCCCCACTCCTTTACATCGTCTAATAGATCCAATAGTTCAAATTGTTCACAATCATTTTCGATCGCCCAGTATCTAATGATAAATAATAATAACTAAAGGTAGTCCTACTGGGACAGGAAAGCTATATGAAAACGCACTTAGTAATCATTGTTCGATTAAACGGGTTGGTAGAAACTGAGGGCGTATTATGCAAATTCCAACTATGAAAACAGTAACATTCAATTTACCTACATTAGGTATAATCCCTATCGGATACTCTATTGTGAAGAATACACCCCAATTAATATTCGTAATGGAGGGCGTTCATCAGAGAATCCTGGAAAGTAATTGAATCCCCAAACAACTTCATAATCCTTATAAACTTAAGATATCGTCGTAATAATTTTAGACAAAATATTTCTCAGCAAATGGCAGAATTAGATTTCCTAAGGGATTACATTTAATCTGATGTTCCGTTACACTGTTAGAGGATTAAAAATTTACAGTCCGTTTAGTGTAAAAGTGTATTAAGCGCTTGCGAGCACAAGTTTCAGCCATTCTAAGGATAAATCGTAGAAAAACATTTACTTCCATCGTCTAGACCAGGTTTATTAGGGCTTAACATGAACATGATCATTTATTTTGCCAAGCAATCTAGTTGTTGCTAAAAGAGGCAAAAGGACGAACATGTAAATCGAACGTGTGAAATCGAAACACTGCGAGAAGTCAAGTCAATTTAATTTTAATTTCTTTCGCCTTCTTCTCTGCTCTTCAAGCAGCTACCATTTGGAAAACGTAAACCTCTCGCCTGGAAAGATTGCCGGTCACAGAGGACCTGATCCCGGTCTACAATCAGTGTTTTTATAAAGATGTGAGCGACTTCCGGGATAGGATCGTGAAAATGTTGAACGAAAAGTCTTTTCGTTCAACATTGGCACGATCTTATTCCGGAAGTCGCTCGCATCTTAAAAAAAACATAGATTGTAAATTGACACAAGGTGTGCTGTGACCGGCAATCTTTCCTGGCGAGAGTTATACCTAAGTATATAAGATATTGTGATACCACGTATAGTTTTAGTAACTGTTGTATGCTTATCACTGATAGATGAAATTGGTCAATTATTTAAATTGAATTCACGCCATTTTTGTCGAGCTGATAAAGTTTGCAGATGTTTTCTTTGTGTACAATTTCTTTAGTTTTGCAATGTATTTGTTAGGTATTGTTTTTGTATATGGGCAATAATTGATACCTACCATTTTGTTTGCGAGATAAAACCAGCATTTCTACGACTTGAGGAAAAGAAAAGTGGGGTTCACGGTGACAAGGGAAAAACGGAAGAATAGAGATGAGGCTAGCGGACGCATAAGCATCTCCAGTTTCGGTAAGTGGGATTCCAAACATTTATTGCGGCACAAGAGTGGCTTGAAACTAGTCAGTTCAATCGTCGTTATTTGACGTTTTAATAGTGAGTTTTTAAAATGTATGCCGTCGTCGTCAATTTTGTGTAGACGAATTTTATACCTACGTTTAAAATACGATTTTTATTCATATACAGGGTGACAATTTGAAAACTTACCACCCCCCATATCTTAGTAAATAAACGAGATATTTAAAAAAATCAAAATCCGTTTCGGTAATTCGTAGGGGGAATCACAATGACATAGTTGGCGACGCACCCCCTCCAACCCCCTGCGCCCCAGCCACCCCAACTTTTAAATCTTAAATAGTGACCACCCATGTGTGATACGTCGTTGGAAAGCTCTGGAAAAATGCTTTCCAACCATACCAAATAGCATTACATTTAGGTTAGTAATAATTACATTTAATGGCTCTTGCTCAACACATATCTTGTAGCTATTGTAAGACACCAATCTATCCTTTCGCAAACAAAAACATGAACAGAAATAAAAGCTAACATTTGCGCGTGGTCAAACGTTTAATATGGGGTCGAAAAGAATGGTTAGCTTTTAATTTGTAAAGAAAGCGTTCGGGTAGGAGGTCAAACATACCAGTTGATAGAGGAAAGATGTAAAAATGTGCAACTTAAACAAGCAACTTTCTTAGTCAAATAGATGTAGAATGTGGAATGTTTTGTTAATTATCTTCAACTAGTTCGCATCCATCACAGGAATAGTGGTCTAATTGTCTCTTAATGCGCACTTGCCATCGTTGGGGGCGTAGTCCGAAGACAGATTTAACCTTGTCGAAATAATGCATTGTACGTAATTATGATCAATTAAAATTTAGTCTTAGTGATACTCTCGGTGATACTGTACGTTCGGCCGTCAATTATTTGTAATTAGAATTAAGTTTGCTAATTACGTAAGCTGGTAGTAAATTCTATTAACTTAGCTTAAAGGTTTAATTAATTTCTCCTCTTATAATTGACCCTTTTTTTAATTTTATCACTTCATGTGGCCAACCCTAGGGCTAACCGGTGTCGAGTACTGCCATTGATGCGCTCGCTCGTGAGTAGATCGAAAATTAAGGGTGTCATTCAAACAAAAAGGAGCGGGGGTGTACCACGTCGCATCCGGCCTCAGAGTCACTATAGTTCGTTTCACCAATAATTTAACATTTCTCATTAGGTCGTTAAGTAGAGGTCCGTGAAGTTGGCAATGCCCATTTCACCAAACTTAAAATTGTTGTAACCATATTTTTGTGCTAATTTTGTGCTATTTATTGCTGATAAACAAAAATTTTGTGCTTTTGAATTTACCGAGTTATTCGAAAAAACAGATGGGTACTGCCAACTTCACTAAGCGATACCTATGTAATAATTTCGAAAAACTTATACTAATTAATTTTGTGCTATTTATTGCTGATAAACAAAAATTTTGTGCTTTTGTTTACCGAGTTATTCGAAAAAACAGATAGGTACGGCCAACTTTACTTAGCGTTACCCAAGTAATGATTTGATTATTTATTGGCGATTATTACATAATGTTCTGCTATAATCTTGGTTATAATACTGAGTGAGCAACTATTACTTGTATAATCAAGACAGTACGAACGACTAGCCGCATGCTGCCATAACCAACGATTTGTTTTGGTTTGTGGTACCACATTATTAAGTAGTAGAGTAGTTACATCTTCTTTAAAAAAAGATTTATGGTTCCAAAAAGTGGTGATAACGGATACAGATTCTATGCGACGACAGAAAAAAATGCACAAAGAAACTGTAGTAAACGTTCAGGTGACAGCATATCCTAATCGAAAGTGTTTGTTGACAAGCTCATACAGATTAGATCTTTTATATGTGTACTACATCGTCATAGCTGTTTTTTCAACAACTTTACTATTCAACACTACGTCGATGTCATTATTAACGTCACGTCTTTATGTAGCACACATATCGGAAAGGGTTGAAGTTCGGAATTTGGTACAATGCTACAGGCCATGTGCCGTTGAAGATTTTTCGTAATCCCATTGAAAATTTTTAATAGAGCTGGAAAAACGAGGAAACTATTACGAAATATCATATTCGTATATAAAATATTTATTCATAGGAAATAATTTCTCTTATAGATGATACCACAATTTATTAACTAAATTATAGTTGTGACTGTTCATTGTTGTGAATGTCAATCAATTTAAGATATAGAAAATGTTTCTAAAAGAAAATAATATTTAATTAAAAACTACCTACTTAGTAAATGCCAACAATTAATTCCCATTCAAAGACAAAATTAAAATATCGGGACAAAGGGGATTGAATGATAACTAAAATTACATTAGACTGCATAAATGTGGTTCAAATGAAATATTATCTAATATAATTTTTACTCGAATTTTTATTTTATAACTTTGTACCCAAGTTCTTACATGAACAGTGATTCATTTTAATTTTTAAATTTTAGAACGGAATGCGCTGTGTAGATTTAAACATAATTTATTCTAGAGATTAGAGATTCCTTACACAAGCTCTTTTGTACGATGGTTCAGAAGGGCCACCGCCCAACTTTTTTTCATGAAAATCTTGCACTTCGTGATTTAATCTCGCACTGCATGATATTATCTCGCACTGCATGATTTCATCTCGCACTGCATGATTTTATCTCGCGCTGCATGATTTTATCGTGCACTGCATGATTCTCGTACTGCATGATTTTATCTCGCACTGCATAGATTTATTTCGCACTGCATGAATTTATCTCGCACTGCATGATTTCATCTCGCACTGCATGATTTCATCTCGCACTGCATGATTTCATCTCGCACTGCATGATTTCATCTCGCACTGCATGATTTCATCTCGCACTGCATGATTTTATCGTGCACTGCATGATTTTATCGTGCACTGCATGATTCTCGTACTGCATGAATTTATCTCGCACTGCATGATTTTATCTCGCACTGCATGATTTCATCTCGCACTGCATGATTTTATCTCGCACTGCGTGATTTAATCATGCAGTGCGAGATGAAATCATGCAGTGCGAGATAATATCATGCAGTGCGAGATAAATTCACGCAGTGCGAGATAAATTCATGCAGTGCGAGATAAATTCATGCAGTGCGAGATAATATCATGCAGTGCGAGATTAAATCACGAAGTGCAAGATTTTCATGAAAAAAAGTTGGGCGGTGGCCCTTCTGAACCATCGTACAAAAGAGCTTGTGTAAGGAATCTCTAATCTCTAGAATAAATTATGTTTAAATCTACACAGCGCATTCCGTTCTAAAATTTAAAAATTAAAATGAATCACTGTTCATGTAAGAACTTGGGTACAAAGTTATAAAATAAAAATTCGAGTAAAAATTATATTAGATAATATTCCATTTGAACCACATTTATGCAGTCTAATGTAATTTTAGTTATCATTCAATCCCCTT